TTTTGTAACTGTTCCTTTCAACGGCTCTGGTAGCAACTACAGCCATGGTGGAGAGCATGATTGACTGAAAATCTTTCTCTCATTTGATTTACTTTTACCGGAGCAAATTGAGATGCTTCATAGGTGTGATGCATCTGAGAAATATACTTTTTTAAAAATGACCAGTGGTGGAATTCCTATCCTATTCATAGTCTTTTTTTCTTTAGGTCACGAGCAGTTGTCTAAGCATTTCACTGCATATCGTACTGTGTATGACTGTGTATGTGACAAATAAAATTTGAATTTGATTTGAATTTGAATTCAACTCAGTTGTCTCAAATATTCCATTTCAGTACATTATTTTTTTCTATAAGACTTTATACCTCTATGATTGTCTCAGAGACAAATATTAATATATTTAACCTGTCTGGGCAACATCATGTAGTGATAGCTAAAAATAAACCAGAAAGATGTGATCATTTTGTATGTTTCACTTCAAATTAAGGCTAAAGTGAATCAATTATTGGGTGAGAAAAATAATTTTTCCAAAAATGGAAAACAATCAGAAGATTAAACAGGCTGATGTTACTGAATGAACAATGGGCTGTGAGTTCAGTTAATTATCATAAATAATAAACAATAAACAAATTGTCATGATCACTGATAAATGGCCATGAGTAACATTCACAGAGAGTTGGGGAATGACCTCACGGCTCATTGTTAGTCAGTGGTGCCAGTGTCAATAGATGAAGTAGGCAAACTTGGACAATCGCTTTGCAACAAAGTGGGTTTGGGATGAATTGCTTCCTCTTTGATTTGGGTATTTGGAGTTTAAATTAAGCGGTTGAGAGAACCATGGGGAGGGCCCTGCATTATTTTAAGAAAATTCCGACACAGCTGTCACTGGGCGCCGCAGCCGAAAACACCGTTATTAAAAACGGTTGGAAAAGTGGCGAATTTTGGCCTGGATGGTTTGCTGTGCCGCTTTCGAAGAATGCAGCCAATGAATTGGGGAACAGCCAAAAAAAAAAAAAAAAAAAAAAAAAAAAACTGTCAAAAGGATTAGACACACCCAGCTTATAAACTGTGCCAAACGTTCTCCGCTAATATCATGAGTTTAACACAGATGTACTCGTTGCACTTTCTTAAGGTATCGCTTTGTACTTTTTGTTATATTTTTTAAAAGTATATCCACAAGCTCAAATGAAAAGTCGGAGTAATAACCTACTGGGCATTGTGTTAAAGTCAGTTTAACACAATGCTTCCACACAACAACAAAAACCAGCGCATACATTTTTTTTTTTACAAAGTTCTGAAAATCATGCAGCTCTTTAATATTTTCAGTCTTACCTGCTGTGGTTAGAAACTGAGCGGGGATCGTGGTTGCGCAGATTACACGTGTGACAGCCGTCTGCGCGCTGTGCAAGTGAAACTGGATGTCCTGAACGCCTTACGTGCAGTGTTGCTAAAGCCTGTGCTTTGTGGCGCCTCTCCTTTCAGTTTAAAATATCTAAAAGTAACAATGGCAGAAACTACAACTTCAACTTCTCTGTGGGGTTAATGATTTATTTTCCTACATTCGGTCCTAGTCTGATCGAGAAAACTATGAGTATTAATTTCAGGAAAAACAACAACAATATGTTACCAGCAGTACTCCGACGTAGTGACAGGTTTAACCTGTTAAGCCTGTTCGCAATAGGCCTACCTATCTCCTCCCTCACTTACAAGTCAGCCTTTCCCTTAATATTATTCAGATAATAATGGAGACGGAAGAGAGAACACAAGATGATGCCACGTGTAACCTCAACTCTCTATAAAGGCAACCTGTGCATCTCAATGATGACAGGTCTGAAACACATATGTGTGATTGTCTTAATCTACTGTAATCTTACCTAATTAACAAAACGGTGAGTGTAGTAAGTTTAATGAATAACAATTTGACTGATAAAAAAGATCATTCTTATAATAAAAAAATAGAGTTTTAGCTTTATTAATTAAAGTTTTTGAGAAATAAAAGAGAGCATACTGTTGTACAAGACTGATTACATTTCCTGTTTAAATTGCATTGAAACGCAAATATTGACTTGAGTCTTATTTTTAAAAACCAAAACAAGATCATTTTGTAGGCACAAAATCCTCAAGGATGTTGTTACAATTGAGAAACGCATATAATAACAGACACAGTCAAATCCAGTCTTATACCACAGCTCTCTTGATACTACGCCTCATGCATTCTCGTGAACATACACAAGTAAATTCTTAAGATACATTACCTGCTTCAAACAACAGCAAAATTAAGAACATTTTTTCTGCACACTGAACTTTTAAAACAGAAACATTTCCTTATGGTCTGACTTTGAGCAGCAAAACATTTTGGTTTCACCAGCCTTAGTTGTTGTTGTTTTTGTTGTTTTTATTGACTTATTGCATTATTCTTTCTCTTTTATATTTTATTGCATCATTGTTGTGCATTTCACTTATTTTAGTTGCATTTTACATTGTTTAGCAAATTCGCTACATAAATAAACTTGACCCTGTCTTCCCAGCCCAGGAAGGACACGCCCCTTTTGGTGGTGATATTCAATAAATCCTTTGAACACAAGATGGAAATCAAATATCTCTATGCAGTTCATATTTTGTGGTTCTGCAGGAGCTGAGGAATCAGAGGAATCCTGACGAGAGATCCAGCCTGCATCTGTGGCAACAAGCGAAGTAGCTATTGGTTCATCTGTCTTGGTCACTCAGCTCCACCCTGTGTGCAAACACTGTTATTGCAATGATAATCATTATATTGGTATGACGTTAGAGATACTAAAACTGCCGCAAGTTTCACAAACAGGACACAATTTATGCATGCTAAATATATAGCTACAACAGCAGCGTTTACCAATCAATGTTTTAAACTAATTAATGCTAAAAATGAAAGTCCATTAACCTTTTTCAGTGCACAATTTCTCCAGCACTCTGAAAAAGGAATGGAACATACCGTCTCAGATGAGAACAGTACAAAAAAACTTGAATTACTATATGATCTTATTGTTGTAAAATATGAATAATGACATTAAAGTGTCAGTTTGTTTAGATAATCTTGTACATTTTTTTTAAGAGAAGAAAAACAATTTAGAAAATGAATTCCATTGCTCGAGATGTTGAGCTAAGCAGGACACCGATGGGCAAAATCGACAACTTTCATGAGAATATTTTAAAATGAGACTTCCATAGC